CTCTCTCTCTCTCTCTCTCTCTCTCTCTCTCTATATATATATATATATATATAATTAATTTTGCATTCTTGTAATATTATCCTAATCTATCTATCTATCTCATTAGTATTGTTTTTCTTGATTGATGACAGAAAGAGAGATATGTTGTCACTTATAATCCAAAAAAAGGTAAAGTATACGCATTGTTCAAAGATCAAGCGAAGTCAGATGACATTCTAAAAGCGGCATTTCATGTGAGATGTTCAGCTTATTTATATGGTCTATTTGGTGTCTTGAAAGGTGTTTTCTTCATACAGGGGATTTAAGATGTTAAATCACTTTGCATTACAGGCACAGGTGCTTTTGCATTTCATGCATTTATCTTTTGACAGTCAGCATCTGTCTCAGAAGGAGAAGACAGCTGGATACTTAAACTTTGAGCCCACAGCTAAAGATCTGGAGGCGTGTATTGTTGAGTCATGTAAGATGGTCTCAACTTCATATGGGATTTTCAAGAGTAAAGCTGCAGAGCAGGTAATTGGTGTTCAATATTGGTAATTTTAATCATTTGTGACATTCAGTTGGCCAGTTTGGCAGGCTTATAGTACAAATGCTCACAGATTTACACCTTTGTCACGACTCATGATGTCTTGCCAAACAGTCTAAACATGTTATATTGTGAGTCAATCCATCAGAACCATTGATAAGGTGGATACCTTTTTTACTTTATGGTCTAAGTTAATACTTTAACAACATAACATGCATAGTATTTGACAAGAGAATGTTACTGTCAACTTTAGCATCCTGAGATCTATTCAGTGATGCAGTGGATGTGGTTCAATTGTCTGTTTGCATAACTGGTTATTCACCTTGGAGTTTTATCCAAATGGACTGAAGGATTTTTTAGGTATAATTATTGCTTTATTTTAAGTGGTTTCTGGGCTTAGTATAAGCTTAATTGAAACAATTGTATTGTACCAAGATTTAAGTGGTTTCTAGGTATGATTTATAATTCATATTTTGAGTTGTATCCAATTGCATTGCTGTTGTAGGTGTTGCATTAGATAAGGATATAAGGATATTGGTTTTCCATTTGGAAACAGCCAGCTTAAGGTTTCTTCTTTGTTACAATGAACACCTTAAAAACCATTTGGTATTTTTCCTCAAAAATATTACAGTGGACGCCCAGCCTAGGTAGAAAATTACAGAGGCAGCCTAAGTATTTGGACTGCATACACTTTTCCATTTTAGTTCTATGTGTGTAAGGATATATGTATGACATTTGTTATTGATGTTATTTCGGTGATTTTATATATATATATATATATATATATATCTCTCTCTTTTTAAATCAGAAAGTCACTTGAAAAGATTATACTTATCTTTTTATTTTATTTTATTTTAACATGGTTATAATCTATCTTCCTGTAGGGGTGGATGATGTCAGAAGCACATCTTAATCCTGGCCGAGCTCGTCTTATCAAGTGATTAATTTGGACAATATGCTACTTAATTTCCCTGCAAAGGCAACATATAAAGTATGGACAGCTTTAATACTTGTTACAAACATACAAACAGAAGATGCAAAAGAGGGGTTAAAGGGGCTTGTCACCACAATATCATATCACTGGGACCATGGGAACCATTTGTCTCATTATGCCTGTCGGATCTAGATCGAGCTTTGCTCGGTGGAACGAAGACTTAAAACGAAGATGACATGGTGTAGTTTATAAGCTGTAGAAATGATTGGCAAGTAGATGATGGATTAATGCACAGGGGACGACATTGTAGAGTTCTCTTCTCTCTGTAGAGTTTGCCCTGAGTTTTGCTTTCTTAGTTATAGTTTTTTTTTGTTCCCTTTGTTTCATTTTTGTCACGTTTGGCCTTGTCAATATATGTATGGTGCAGGTGCAGAAGAAAGAAACCCATGAAATCCTTGTATAAATATAAATGAATGAATTTTTCGTTTGTCCATTACTGCAGAGTTGATAATAATAGCCACTTTTTTTCATTGAACGACAGTCACTGTTATTTTTCTTTCTGCGGTTGTAGAATTATGTGAAAACTGGACTTCTCTGTGCTTTCTCTTCTCTTCCTTCTCAGGAAACATGTCATCCACTCAATTCAATTGTGTTTTGTTTTGCCATGTAAAATGTAATGAAGAAGCATTTTATTCCGTTAATCTAATTCTAATTCTAGTTCCAAAATGAGGAAAGGAAGGAAGAGGACATCCTCTTTGTTGATTTGAGTCACATCGCTGACAGCCACTGCCTCTCTCTCTCTCTCTCTCTCTCTCTGACATGGTGCATGTGTGTATGTTTGAGCAGCATCGTCTCGTCTTGTAAATAACAGCATTCTATTATTATTTATGAGTGAGTTCCTCTAAAGTTACTCCTACTCGCCAGGTAAAAGCCAAAAACAAAAGCTTCTGTTGCTTTTGTTTTTTACCTGCAAATTTGCAATGGTTTGCTATACATATTTGCAATACGTGTTAGTTTTTCTCTTGAATTCGTTCCATGTAGTAGTTTTGAAGATGCATTTCCAGTGCGCGGCCAGCTATTAAATATGGCTCACAAGATCATGGGGCTCTTAAATGTAGAGTTGTAAAATTGCGTTCTGTTTAATAAGTTTTTTTCATGTTTGTTTTCACAGCATCTCCACAAGTGCATACATTGGTTTAACTCAAAACTCACTAACATAAAGCATCTTCAAGGGAGATGTTAAATTCAACGCGACACTTTTAGCATATAGAAAAAATAGATGAGACACACTTTAACCGAAATGTTAAATCCTATGTGGAATAACATTTATCTCTCTTCTTGTTAGTTTTAGTTGTTTGACATTATGATGTTATTTTATTATTTTATTATTATTTTTCAATTAATATGCATATATTGTAGTAAATCAATAAACAATATGTGATAAAATAATATTTTAATTTGACATATTGAGTGGAATATAAAATTCTATTATATGTCAAATTGCTATATAAGCCATCAAATTCAAATTTAATATTTGATATTTGACATCTCCTTTATAGAATTAGGGACGGTCTTACGTTCAAGCTAATATGGGGACTCGATTTTTTTATAGTCCAATATTAATACTCAGCCCACTTAAGCACACCCCCACACATCCCCATCCCAGTGATCCCACCCACAGAAAATCTCTTCTTTTTTTTTCTTTCGCAACCCCACAAGTCTGGCAGTAAGTAAAACAAAAACTAACCCCACATTAATACTCAGCCCTTTTCAAAAAAACACTCATTCCTAGAGAACATCCTTTACCTTTTCTAGTGTACAGAAACGCCAATTCATATAAGTCAAAATTGTTTAGTCTTTTGATTATCTACATTTTCATTTTGGTTTTATCTAACGAATGTTTTTTTGTTGTTGATACATTTTAGATAACCAAAAAACTCAAATTTCAACACCTTTTTTTTTTTTTTTTTTTTTGGTAACGATAACCTAAAATATGAACAATTGCGATCATTAAATACATTGTTGGATATCATTACTAATGTAATACATCCTTAACGTAGAAAACTTCAAGGACCGTTTGGTTCAAGTTTTATAAGCTTGGGATGGGTTTGAAATTATATTCCCATGTTTGGAAGGTATAATTTTGGGAATGCAATTATGGACTCATGGGTATGGACTTCCCATGTAGGGGGAAGTTCATACCCTTGACTGAACTTGGGATATTTTCCCTCCACTTGTGGGGAGGAGGGGGAGACATTTAATGCAAGTTTTTGGGACAAATTTACCCTTGTTATAATTTGCATTCCAATGTTTGGTAAGCATTTAATGTAATTTTTTTAAGGGTATTGTTGGAAAACTAAACAATTTGTCATTCCTAATAATGCACAAACCAAACATGGAAATGGGAGAAAATGGTCTTTCTTGATCCTTATTTCCCAACGTTCCTAAATATGAAAATAAATATCTTTCATTCCCATCTTATAGAATTAAACATATGAAGTTCATTCCCAGGAAGTTTAATCGCTAACCAAACCGGCCCTCAATGTTCCACGATAGTAGAGGGCATAAGTTGGACTAAGAGATGCATATGCGTAATGAAAGAAGGTAAGAGATGCATCATGCATGTGAACAAAGCACAGAGCACTTAATAGGTGGTCAGATGTGGTCAGATATGATCAGAGATGTCTAAAACTTTAAAACTATACGTAGAATTAATGATGCATGTGATGTGGAACAGAACATGTATAAATTTTCCATATACAAGTTACAATTTCACAAGCTGTTTATTTTTTAATTCATGTTATGTACTGTTGTTTGTAATTTTGTGTGCGACGGAACGGAGGGGAGAGGGGACGGGGCAGTGAATGTGAAACTGAATTGGATGGCTGGTCTGAGACTCTGAGACTCTGAGACTCTGAGGTCTCGTCTTGTCTCAAATCTTTGTTTGGGTGTTGTCTTTTAATATGCAATATCTTTTTCTTCTTTTTGGCATTGATCGAGGCATTATTAATTATACTTTTTTGCTTTTCCTTTTCATTTGTTTTTGTATTTTCTTATCTCTGTTTCTGTACCAAAGAACATTCCTACACCACAAACAATGTGCATCGAAACAAAAAGTGGCTGCCTTTTCTTGCTGTTTTTTCTTTACTTTAATATCACGTACGTACCATTTTTCTTATTTTTCTTTTGCTCAAAACAATTGAAGCATTTTGCATTTAGCTAGCAAATCTCTGAGAATGTTATCAACCTTATCTTCTCGTTTCTATTTTTCCATTCTTTTCATGACAAGTTTTATTTTTTTTTATACTTAAAACAATGTTATTAATGCATCACGCAAGTTAGTTTTTATTTACCGGCCTAGTTTTTGCTTTCCTTCCTTGTTGAAAACTATAAACTCCCACGTCATAAATTTGACAAATAAAATATAGTAGATAATTGAATAGTTCAACTAATAATAATACTTAAGGTCTTTTTTAAGAAATAAAATTTGACACATAGTGAGCTATGCAGGTAATTAAGTTAGCAATAAAAACAAAATCAATGTTGGATTAATTATTAATGGACAACTGATTCATTTCTTTGAAATTTTAAACTACTGATGTAAACTTCCACACTTGAAAACTTCACAAAATACAATAAAATATATAATTAAGTGATTCCACCGTGGGGTTGCTCATATTTTTATTTTTTACAATTTTTTGTGTGAAATTAGATTGGAGTTTCTAGGGAAATTTTCAAAGATGGGTGGTTTCAACAAATAGGGAGGTGTAAATAAAATTCCCAAATGAAAAACAATCAATTAAATCAAAAGATTCAAAACTCATACATGGATTAGTTAACAATAGGAGATGATGTTACGATTTTCAAAATTATACCATATTATACCACGTTTATATTTATTAATATTATGTCTTAAAAAAATATACTCATCACCCATTTATTTTATAATATATAACTTAACAGCACTGTGATATTACAGCCACAAAATTTCTCCCATAGCATTGTAATAAAGGAGCATCACATATCAACGGCCCTAGCACAATCAATGTAATGTAAAAGGACCTTAATTTGCGGACCAATACTTTCAAATTCAAACCTCAATAACACTCTAGCCGTGTATATAAAAAAACCTCATTTCTTCCTTACTTTAGGAGAAACAAAAGAGCACCACTCACATAGAAAAAGGGAAGCTATATAAAGAAATAAAGATAAATATGGCTCCGATGGCTTCTTAATTCCTTGCAACGTGCAACATAGATTTTCGTGTATATATAACACAATGAAACAATAGTACACTCTAATCCAAAGTTTTGGGAGAAAATAACAAAATTCAACACATTGTTTTGTCAGCATCGATCTTGAAATACTTTAACCATTTTTTTTTTTAAATTCAAGTGATGGCCTAAAATATAAGGGGTAAATAAGTTTCTTACACTTGGGCCAAAAAAAAAAAAAGGAGTTTCTTAAACACACATTAGGTGTTATGGGGGTTCGAACTTGAGACCACTGATATGCAAATGAAGGCTCTTTACAAGAAATTTCAATTTGGTCGCTGATAAAATAATTTAGCTAAATTGATAACTGTATTTTCTCAGTGACCAAATTGAAATTTCATATAAAACACCCAAAAATGTATTTAACTCTCTCTCTCTCTCTCTCTCTCTCTCTCATACACACACTATCAACGTGCCATGGGTTCGAAAACAAAAATTAGTTACTTCTTAGAGGGTAGTAGTTAATACATTGATTATTTTTTTTAATATGAAACTCATCAAACTTTGAAATGGAATAAATTTTTAACTCACAAGGCCAAGATCCATTGTTAAAAGAAATCAAGGTTCATATAGTTCTAACAAACATGAACAAAAATTATAACCGCTAGCAAGACCCATGGTTAATATATCTCTTCTTTCTTTCCCTTTTTTTTTTCCTTCCTTTGTCAGCTGGATTCTTAGGTATTAGTTACTAGAAAATATAACACATATAATATAAGTCCTCTTTCAATACTGGACAAGAACATGAACTAGCCACAACTCACTGCTAAAACCCAATTTTCAAAAACTACATTGCATAATCACCAATGCTATTCCATATATATATATATAAAGAAAACTTACGAAAAATATCAAAGAGGACAAAATTATAAAATAAAAGAGAAAAAGACAGGGTAAATTAAATATGATAATCAGTAATATAAGCTAACTACAGATAGAGTTAAGCACAAACTGAAAGAGGATGATGAGAGAGATGGTACGTAATTAATTTTTTAATTGATATTAAGCAGGTGGGGGTGGGGGTGGGGGTGGTAGGGGATTCTTCTTGGCAAGATTGTGTTTGTTGTTGTGCATCCAAACCTTGAGAACTCTTCTCTTGACCCCAATCTCTTGGCAGAAGTTTTGTACCACAGAGTCTTCTTGCTTCTGAATCTTCCACCCAACTTTCTCTGCAAAGTTGAACATTTTTTCCTTCTGCTCCTGTGTAAACTTTGTCCTGAACCTTTTCTTTGCTAGCTGTGCTGCTGCTGGCCTGCCCACAGCCCCACCACCATCATGCTCCTCCTGTTCATCAGACTCTGAAGGGATGGCCCCCATCCCCATCCCCATTCCCATTCCCATTCCCATTCCCATGTTGTAAGACATTATCATCTGGTGGGGTGCTGCTGTTCTTGATGAGGGCATTGTATGGTACCCTAAGCCCTCTGGGGGGGCTGCTAGTAAATTCTTGTGATGGCCAGGGCCTAATAGGAACTTCCTGCTTCCAACCCCAACCCTGTTGATAGTATGATGAAAGTTATGATCCCAAGAGGAGGGGGAGGGCTGCTGCTCACCTTCTACTTCTTTTCTGTGGAAGTTTCTGTGACAGTTGCAGGCTGAGCAGTTGAGAGCTTCAATAGTGCCTTCTTCTCCACTGGGCATGAATTCACCACACCCATCAGTTGCAGTCCCTCCCATGGCTGCTGCATGGTTCTTGAGGCACTCTTTGTACCTCACCCCCACTTTCTTACAGCTGTAGGGCACAATGTTCACATGCTCCTCCTCCTCATGATGAGGATGAGAATGGGGGTGATGGTGATGATGATCTAGGCTTGTGGGCATGGAAGAGCCATTAGTGTTGGAGGGGTTTTGATTTTGGGGCACTGCTGAGGAGGGAATCAAATTGGAATGGTTGTGGGGCACTACTGTTGCTGCTGCTGCTGCTGCTGCTGCAGGGTCATGATGATGATGATTATGATGGATCATGTGCCCATGCCCATGCCCACCACCATAGGAACTATTTATTGGGATTGGGATCTCCCCAGCTTCTTGACTTGAAAGTTCCATTATATAATCAGTCCTAGCTAGATCTTTCTCTTTTTCCTCTAGGTATTATTTTAATGATTTGGGTCTTGTTTGTTTGGTAATTGGAGACCAAAAGAGAAGGAAGAAGAGAGAGAATTAGGAGGCTTGGCTTGAACTTGAATGATTAGAACGAAAAAGTGGTTAGTTTTTGGCTCCTCAAATACCTAGGAGTTTAATTTTTTGACAATTATGCTCTCTAGCTTTTAGTGAAGCAAACAAAATGGAGAGGGGAGAGAAGAGGGGAAAGAAAGTTTGAACTCTGGGATATGGGGCCTCCTCCTAGGGCTAATGTTAAATCCTTTTGATCAAAGTGCCAATTAAAAGGTCATCAGCCACCTCAACTTTGAATATACATGTCCATATATATATATATATATATACATATACATATATCATCAGCTGATCTCAACTTAGAAGGAAAGAGAAAGAACAAGCAAATACTAGTGTACTGCACCCAGAAAGTTGGAAACCAATCTAAGCAAATCAAACCACCTTTTCTCTATAGACTCAACATATCTCTATCATTTGAAAGAGATACACATAGTGGGGGGGAGGAGGGAGGGAGTGAAGGGGGGGTCACCACTCAAAGACTTCCCAAGAAGGAAAATGATGGTTGGAAAATTAATTAGAAGATGAGACAAAGCTAGTAGAGAAGTAAACCTATTTTTTCTTTCTTCCTTTTGGATCCCACTAGAAATAGAAATCGAAAAAGAAAGAAGGAAACAGCAGCAGGATGAACACGCCAACTTCCCTTTGAGAATCTCGCTCATGAGCTTAAACAGTAGCAAACAGCACCTTCCGTTTCCATAGCAGATTAAAGCCAAACGAAGAGGATGTAAGAAAGAGGAGACAGTCTTTGGCTAAAAATGGGGGAGAGAAACAAATCATGAATTACTATTGGACAAAAGACAAAAGAGTAAACTGATTGATTAATTTAGGGAGCTGAGTTAGTGAGTGGTGAAGAGAAGAGAGGAATATGAGAAGAGGAAGAGGAGATAGTCAGAGGGATAGAGAGAAAGAGAATAGGTAGCTAATGGCTTAGCTAGCTAGAGTGCTAGAACCTAGTTTTGGAGGTGGGTTTTAGCTAGTGAAGCACTAAATATTAATATCAGCTTACACACAGCTACAGTGACTTGTGATGAGGGGCCCAAATAAGAGAGAGAGAGAGAGAGAGAGAGAGAGAGAGAGAGAGAGAGAGAGAGAGAGAGAAAGCAGTGCTTTTTTTACAGACAAAGAGGAATACACAGTGAGTTTTTGGAGAAGCGAGTTCAAAGGGCACCCCAAAACCAAAAAAAGAAAAGAAAAAAGTGGGGTGCTTGCTTAAAGCATTGCTTGCACTATCAGGCAAGTTTACGCCACCTAGAGAGCAGTGTGTGTCAGAGAGTGGAGAGGAGGACAAAGGAAGCCAGAATACAATGCCAAGGAGAGAGAAGAGAGAAGAGAGAGAGAGAACCAAAAGGAATTATGAAAAGTAATGTTGCATGCCCAAGGGAAAATTAGCAAAAATCTTCCTCTTGATATTGTATAGTTGTATTTTTATATTATGAGTATGCTGGACTTGAATTAACAAACCGCTTGAACATTCTTTTTCCTGCCTATGGTCTTCAGTCTTCACACTCTCAAATGCAGCTCCTAATCAAGATCCAATAATTATTACTTTGAGTATATATAGCATGATTAATTAATGACATGGCATGACATCTTTGAGGATTAATGAAGCTGCATAATATATTAATATATATGTGTACAAAATCATGCATACAACTGCTACTGCCCCCTACTGTTGGGTTCGGCTGCATGCAACAATTTGGCTACTTACAAAAATAAAAAATAAAAAAAATCAAGTGTCCTCATTCACCCTTGTGAGTTAAAAGAAAGTATCATGCTACTCATGTGAACCATTTATTATCAAATTATCTGAATTAGAGAAATGTTTGGGGAGCCTTACTTTGTTTCGTATTCCTTAACTAGCTAGCAAAAACTAAAATGAAGTTTTCTCACAGTAGATACATATTCTTAAGCTTCTTATACATTCATTTGTTTGAATATCTGAATTTTTCATGAATGAGGCCGAGTAGATAGGAAAGAATTGTGCTTTAAGCAAGCCTAATCGCTAAGCAAAAGGATTCGTGCTCAAGTTAGGTTAAAGTCTTCTATAAAAAGAGGTTACAAGGTAATGATAACAATTTGTTTCAAAATATTAGTTTTTTTCAAGTGCTAATGATGAGATGCTTGCAATTTATACTATATTTTGATCTATGCTTTAGGCTAAACAGAGAACGTCACCTAATCCTAATTTTGTAGAATGTAATGTTCACTTATCAAACTTATGTAGTATGTTTATTGTCATACTCTGAATTTAAACCACGTAGACAAAAACTAATTTAATAACAACATTTCTTGCTAAACTTTAATGTGGGTATATTCATGATCACAAGTGTTGTTGTATCATGCATCAAATAAGGGATTACTCAATACGGCAATGATGTCCCCTTGGAAAACAGAGATCATGACAATGCCAAATCAATTCATACAGATTCATCACAATCACATGAAATATGAGAGAGAGAGAGAGAGAGAGAGAATAGTTCAACTATCTAATCCAACAGTCATGTATACCACGAATCTTAGCAGTATGATTACTTTAGAGTTTGATATTAATGAATCCTAGTAAAAGTGGTCATCTGAATTTTAGTAATATATATATATATATATATATATATTTATAATGCATGGAATAGCCAATGTCTGGTATAGTCTTCCTAGAGTGCCCTCAGCAAATAGCCCATATCTTTCTGCACCTTATTAAGAACCACAAAAACATGTTTTAGATTTCGTAGTAACTCAAAACAGTTGTTACATTTACATGGTTGAGAGTTGAGAGTGAGAGTTGAGAGTTGAGAGTGCTGGAAATTACCACAATGTTGTTGTCCGGTAAAGTTTTTCTTTACACATTCTGCACTGCAGGGAGAAATTATATATCTTTTATATTTAAAAAATTTAAACTTTATTCAAATCACTTTATTCTTTTATTATCTCTCCTTTATTCCAATATCGACACCACATTTAAGTCCTTTATCTATCTTTAGCTTTTTGTTTTTATGTTTGTTTGTCTCTTTTTCTAGTAATTCTTTGTTGCTCTTCGTTCAGTCTTTGAATTGCATACTCCTCTCTCTCTCTCTCTCTCTCTCTCTCTCTCTCTCTCTCTCTCACACACACACACACACAACTTTAACCCGCATGACTTGAACTACATGTTTGGTTCAGTCCAAAAGGGAAAAAACAAACAAACAGAAGAACAATATATATCATACATTCTTAATTAGATACACAAACACAAAGTAGCCTATAGCGAGCTAATTTTGCATAGCATTTTCAATTATAAAATGGGACTTTTAGTATATTATTTTAAACCCTAGTTGCTGATAATCATATAAAATTGACTTTTTCGTTCTGTTCCGTGGGAATTGAATGTGAGAGAGAGTGTGTGTGTATGAGAGAGAGAGAGAGAGAAAAAAGGAAGGATTAATTATGTACTGCCGGGAGAATGGGCCACAAAAATAAATGGTATTGATGACACATGATGCAGCTTGATCACAATTTTCAAGATGCCTCTCAGAGCCCAAAAATTCTCTTTTTCTTTTTAATCGGGAAAAAACAAAATTTGATTCCATCCATCTCCATCAGTCACTCAGTCACCGCTGCCCTAATTCTCTTTTTTGCGTGTCTACTTATATTTACTTTATTTTCTGCCATTTTTGGAACCCAATTAAAATAAAACTGTAGATAGGGTAGTTGGATGGAGCATGTGATTCCATGCCATTTACATTCTTTTTTGGCTTTTCATATAAAGAAACAAAAGATAAATCATTTTTAAGGATTTATTCTAATAATATTCACTTTATTTATTTTGTCAAATGAAGACTAAAACTTTTTGGTCTAGTAAAAGCAAATTATATTCTTGGTCAACTAGATTGGATGTTATATTCATATATATCATAATAAGATAGAGAGATACCAGCTTTAAAGCTTTGTTCTAATAATCTCATCTCACCCACTCCTCCTTCCAAAGGTGCAGAGCCTGCCTTGGCCCTTGTCTTAGGAAACCAAATCTTCCTTTAAGAGGCAATCATATTCATTTTAAGAATCAAATTGCCAAGTTTTGCTTCTTTCCTTTTTCCTCTCTCCCTTTCGGTTCTCCGCTTACAACAAACTTGCTTTGCTTTATCCATTAATTTATTAGAGCATACCTTTGATATTTTTTTATTTATTTTTGGGTCTTTTCCTTTCACTTATATATATATATATATAATATAAGTTGCCAAATAATCTGATCAATTCAATTGCAAATTGAACAAAGGTGGCTTACATGGCTTACATTACATATATGATTTTCGATTGAGGCTCTAAAGATATATGAACCAACTATCTATTAGTCTAGTGATATTTCTCTTTATCAATATTAAAGACTTAAATTGAGAAACAAGTAGGAGACAATGCATATAACGGTTATATTTTACACAAGTGCTGTAAACAATCATTCATTTAGGTGAATTATTGAGCCATATATATATATATATATAACATTTGTTATTCCTCAATTATCAATTATCCCTCGATTTAAGTTCTTCATATTGTTTAGGCTTTTTTTGGTTTTCAATTAGCTATATTTTTGAAAACCCAAGGGTAGCTAAACACATGTTATGTCTGCCCTAGTAATAGATTGAATGGTAAGAGTGCAAAGGTGACCACCACCAGTATATAATGGTATCATTCTTGCTAACTTCATAAATACTCATGCACACACACCTGTTTTTTTTGTTCTTGCTTCTTTCCCTTCCTTTCTTCTTTGTAAGGATATGTTATCATTTTCATTCTTGTAAAGCATATAGCAGCTCCGGCTTTAATGTGTTTGGTTCCCTTTGGGGCAGAAATAGCGATTTCTTTTCTTTTACTGTCAGGATCCAAAACAGGCAGGCAGGCCATCATTCTATATATACATATCTCATTTCCTACTCATGCTGTTTATGACCAAATTTTCCCAATTTTTTCTTTTTCTGATCTACTCACACTTCTTAGACCAACCGCATTTATTGTTTTCATGCCTTGATTCACTTCTACCCTAAACGACATGTGATGCACATAAAGGCATTGACAACTACTCAAACACACAATTCATTCTAATATTATAGCTTTTGCTTCAAAGTCAGCTAGTTCTTCCACAATAATTTCAATTCTTCTATTGCATTTGCACTGTTTTTGAAAATAGTATGGTAGAAATTAGGCCCTCCACCTATATATGAACAATTGGCAATTTATGGATCGAGAGGCTGGAGACCTTTTAAAGAATTATGTAAGCCTTCGCATTTTTAATGTGGGATAAACTCTCAACACAGTGGCACT